TCTTCCCCTTGCAGCAGATTAGAAATGTTTCCCAGATATCTTTGTGGATTAAATGCAATCTTACATAGAACCAGATAGACAAAGGTGAAGGTTAGCAAACTGGTGATTTGTAGTTCTTTAAAATGACCTTGATTTCATGTCTTTTTCAGTCAAATCCTTTTTTTTTGTAGTGCTCGAGTAAAAGTCCAGGTTTTTCCTGCTTTCACTGAAGCTCGTTAAGCTTGGGGATAGTTTTACCTCTCGTCTGTAGCACAGAACGCCTCTATGTCTTCACTCTTTAGGCATGTCTAATTCCCACATATTTTTTTAGCTCGACCCTCTCTTTTCCATAAGAGTAGTCATCGATCTTCATTTGCGACTTAACCTCCACGACGGAGCGGACAGAGAAAGTGAAGTCGTGTGTGTGTGCGTGCAGATTAGTGCACATCTTTGATTTCCTGAAGGCCTCCTGCCTCTGACGGCATATGCAAATGAAAACTAGCAGAGTGTGTGGAAAAGCAAATACATCCGCTGACTCCTTCATTCAATGTCACCTGTTAATGGCACTTTACGTACTCTACCGTATCGCTGAATCTTAATATTACACACACACAAACATGCTCGGTTGTCTACAGACTTTTAAGTTCAAATAAGATTTTCTCACCTCGCAGAAGCTGCATCTCCCCCTGGCTAATGTCACTTAATTCTTTTTTTAAAAAGAAATCCATATTAAACCAACTCTGTGTTTCACGCCTCTACCTCTATAAGTCCCATGAGCTAAGCACCCGCTGAGCCAACACAACTCTGAATAATGATAACAAAATGTTATTTAATGCAGCGCAGCAAAAAACGGTCCTCCTTTTTCTCACATAAATAAAAGGAAAAAATAATTGGGCCACACCTGCAGCAAACTATTAGAAACCACCTCTGTCTCGTGGCTCCTAAAGCAGGGATACTTAATGTCAAGCTACATGGTGAGAAACTTCTGCTGCTGAGTTTACAAAAGAGAAAAAAACAACAACAACAAAAAAAAAACAGGGAGGAGATGCAGAGTTGATTTCATCAAGGCAGCTTGCAGACTTGACACTGAGCTGAATTTGTCAGCAGTAATCTGCAGACCCGTCACTGATCTGCCAGCTACCTGGATAATTAGGGACCCAGGCTAATGATGCCGTCAGGATTAAGGGAGGCCCCACCCAGCAAGTCGTAATTAAGAGACTCCTTTTTCAAAGAGTTGTTGGAGGCAGATCACCAGCTGCCAAGTATAACCCAGGCGATAACTGCACAATGCATTTCTGTTAAAGAGAATATTGTTACAACCATTGTTTAAAGAGTTAAAATGATGTTCAGTGCCACGATACTGAACAAGAGCAACTTTGTCCTCATTAATGAGCTACCAATAGCACTTTGGGTGGTTAGCAGTATCAAACTATATTAAAGGTTTAGGCACTTTTAAACCTGCTTACATTTTTTCTTTTTATTCTGATAGTTGCTTTGATTTAGATTGATTTGATTTTATAGCTTCCTACAAATTTTGCAATTGTCTAGAGTGTACCCTACCTTTCACCTATAGAGTCCTGGAGAGGCAACCCCCCTGGGAACCGCGATATTTCACTGATACCCAAAAAGCTAACTTTGGAGCTTCTTACCTCAGTGAAAATGTCAGCATTGAAGGGTGTTATCTTAGGATTACCAGGATCAAGATATTCACCAGTTAAAAGGTTAGGTACATTTTGCCCTCATGCCCCAAATGTGATTTGAAGTCTTTTTAAGGCAAAACTTGCAGCTAGTCAAGGCAGAAAAGATTGCTATCAATGAACACAACTCATCACTTTGACTGAGACTATTTTAAAAGTAAGCAATAAGAGACATGTCAGCTATCTTAAATAAAACAACAGCTAATATCAGCTTGTTACAGTTATGTTACTAAAAGTAAGTGGAATAAAAAGTGGGACATTGCGTGCAAAGATAAATTGACAAGGTGTTTACATTTCTCTATGGGTCAAACATAAAAAAGACATTAAATTACATTAATTGTGAGTATTATTGCTTATCTGATTTGAATGAAATGAATTAAATACACTCTTGTTTGGAATTGGAGAAAATGTATTTCAGAGAATCTCCCTCAGGCCACTGTCAACAACTGAAGCTGAACTGCTGTGGTCGGACTTTTCCTCAGACAGCATGGTTATATGTTAAGCAGAAGGAGTTGTTCTTCTTTTTTTTTTTAAATAAACCTTTTATAAATCTAGTGGTACACGCTCAACACGGTGCCAAGCTGTAATCACAATGACATTTTGAATGATTAGTTGACATATTCATTACACTGAGTGTCAGGATTTGATTTAAGATAGAGAAGTTGGCAAAGTAGGAGCGCGAGGAAGACGTGCAGCGCTTTTCAACCTCGCTTTCCAAGTTATGACTTTTATGTGTATGTTCTTCCATCTGCTAATTAAAATTCCTGTAATTACTGATAAAAACTAATGTTATGCATATTTAAACACTAACAGCAAGATCAAAAGTGAATTCACCTGAGGAAAGTTTTAAAGTATATCGTATATTTAACTGGGGATAGATAATGGAATCAAACGCATGACATCTTAACTTAAAGAGCCATTTAGAAACCTGATGTACATTGGCAGGAAGTAGAATATTTTACAATATAATTGGTTATCAAACTGGATGTGAAATTCAATGTTATGTTTGCCAAAAAAATGTATAGCAATTTATTAAATAATCAAAACAGCAAAGGAGTCACAGGTTTGATTTGAGACTAAGCTGCAGTTTTGTCACTTCACAGAAGATCATTAAGCTGTTAAGTGTGTTTAACTAATCCTGGAACACATCGACAACCAAAGAAAAAAACAAAAAAACAAAGAGACAACCCCTTCTGGAAATGACAACAAATGACTGCAGCAATAGAATTGAAAAAAAAAGTCCCCGCAGCTCAGATTGCAGAGCTCTGCATCCATTCGCCAAAACTAACAGATGCAGTAATGCGGTTCCAAATGAGAGAACACTGATGTATTGTCACTGGTCATAAAGCAGATAGGGTGCAGCGCCATTACGGGTTTAAAAAAAAAAAAATCATCACTGTGCCTGATGAAACAGAGCCTATTTGAACTGACACACAAAGGCCTATTGAGGAGCTCTCTTCCTCACTGAGATGCATATGCAACATTCATTGGATACAAATCTGCGCTAATGCGGTGTAAAACATTAACTTTGCGTAAAGGTTTTGGGGGTGGTCTAAAGTGTATATCCAATGCATGCAAATACAAACTAAAGAAAACTGAGCTCATAGTTTAAAAAGTTAAACCCAAAAGGTGGACATCTTAGAGAATGAGGTGGAAAATATAGGAAACACAACTAATTTTCACCTTATTCTCTCTGTCCATCCATCCATCCCCCTAAGCTTTGCATCAATTTGAAACTAGAGCCACGCAGAGTTCAAAGTCTGCTTTGAAACAACCTTGATTAAGTCTGCTTAACCTCACATTTCCATCGCCAATAGCTTCTTAACATTCTGCAGCTGTGTTATTCAGCTTTGGTCATTATGGCGTGAAACTTCAAAAGGGGCGCCGTTCTCTCTTTCTGGAAACGCGTGTCAGTCAATCAGGCGCTCGCATCTGCCTCCTGTGTGTGTTGTGTGTGTGTGTGTGTGTGTGTGGGGGGGGGGGGGGGGGGGGGGGGGGGGGGGTCTTGCGACATACTCAAAACAAACATTTGCAACCATGTAAGTATGAGTATGAATCAAGTCATTGTTAGGACAATTATCATTGAAGATGTGTGAGTTTATAAAACCCTGGTATTGGCTGCCTGTTGTGTGTCAGAACTGACGTTATAATCTAATTAGGACAATTCCTCTGTCTGGATATACAGTTATAATCTTAATTTTGTATGTGGCAAAGATTTGGAAACGGAATGAGAGCGGTGTCCTATTTTGATAAGGCTTGAGCAATGGATGTCTATTCATCTACTAACGTGTATGATGTAAAATAAGATGATGTGGCAGACTGGAGATGTATAAAATGTCTTTAACCTTCTGTAACCTTAAGCAATTCTCTGATCTGAGTAAGATTACAATTTCTATCAAAATCTGTTTTCATGTCTCCAGGTTATTTAATACATATAAGTTATAAAGTGTTATTTAAAGAGTTTGTCCAGTGATCTCTTCTCAGGGGAAAGAACCGGAGAGATAGAGCATCAGGGTGCATAAACAGAGCATCTTTAACATCATGTAATTGGAAAATAGTTATTTTTCTTTCTTATTCCCCATTAAAAGTATAACATCCTATTTACTGATTGGTTAGTTAGTGTTTCCTGAGCTAAACTGTCCAGAGGAAGTACTAATTTGCACATTTTTTTTGCCATTTCTTTTTTCTAGAGGTCAGCTGAAGACATTGGAGTGACCCTGCAGCGTCTGTAGATCATCTCCCTCTGATCTGGATGCGTCCCTGCACCCTGACCCCCACCCACCCCCACCTCCCTTCATATGGGTGTTTAATCGCCACCTATTTATCCCGCATGAGAACTTTTCTTTCAACTTGTCTTCTTTTTTTTTCTTCTTCCTTCCCAGTTAGGGGAGATTTAAAGAGTCTCCCCCCTCTACACACACAAAAACGCATTTTTAATCCTTAGAGTCAAAACGCATGTGTGCGTGTCTCCGCGTGGAGAATGATTTAGTGATGTTTATCAGGAATGAATAGATCAAAGGGAAGTTGCATGACAGGCGATCAATCAAGCATCAAATCAGGGATGGCAATCCCAGAGCGGAAATACGCGACCTTTCATTATGTTCAGGCGGGTCAAACATGTTGGGGAAAAAAAAGGATTTGATTTTAAGTCTTTTTTTTTTTTGTGGAACTTGAACTGGAAAAGTTTACTGATTTCTGAGAAGTGGAGTGGAGTTCTGCATGGGTTGCTGGGAAACAAATAAAGCAAAACAAACAAAAACAATAAAAGTATCTGTGCAGAATTGTGCGTGTTTGCGCATGTTTGTTTGCAGAGCCGGGGCTTACCTGCTGACCGCCGCGGTGCTTGCTGCTTTCTCCTCGGCATGCTGCTGCTGCTGCTGCTGCTGCTGCGGGATTTTCCGCTTGACTGTTCATGCAGAGATCAAAACAACGGACCGAGCTGGAAGCGAAGGAAGCTGATTTTATTCAAAAGGGTAAATCCCCTTAAAAGGGCGAAGAGTTTCAAAATCAGTGCGTCTTTTTTGTGCGTATTGGTGATATGGGGTAGAAATTGTTAACTTCGTCCGATTAGGGGGGGGGAAAAACTCCAGGAAGGGCTGATGTGGTTTGGTTCAGATTTCAGACCAGTTCCCTCCGATCAAACGCGCTCCGGGTTGTGCTCCAATCGGAGGACCGCATCCTCTGCTCGGAGGAAAGGAGTCCAAACTGCGGGGCTGGTGCCGCGTGTCTCTGCGCTCTCGCCGCACTGCGCGCGCTCTCCAAGGCTGCGCTGCGAGGAGGAAAATCGGTAAAGGAGATCTGGGGTGAAAAGGGAAAGAAAAAAAAGAGTGACACGCTTAAAGCGGACAGGGGTGTATGTCAGTCAGTCAAACGCGAGTATTGAGAGTGCCGAGCCCCCCCACTCCCCCCACCCCTCCTCTACCCCCCCCTCCCTCCCTTCCTCTCACTCCCGCCCCCACCTGGATAACAACATACTCACATAACACCGTCCGATTGTCAAAACACGGACACTTGGAAATTTCTCTGAAACTCGTCTGGTCTGTTCTTCTTGTTGCTTCCTGTTCTTTTAATACATCTAACGCGCTTCAGTTGAAAACAGAGAAGTAGGAACGTTCCTTCTGAACGCAGAGAGGGCAAAAAAACGTGCGCGCATCGCCTTCAGACGACTCCTTCTGATAGACAAGACACATCCAGCTGCCTCTCCAGGCCCCTTCTACTGTTACTCCACCCCCCTCCTCGCGACAAACGTCACCCTGACAGTCAGAGCCCACCTGTCAATCTGCAACTCTAATTATTGGAAGGTGGGATGGCTCAGCAGGGTTGGAGAGGTGCGTCCCTGGCGCGCGCGAACAGTACAGGGGAGAGCATGGGCGCACCTTTGCACAGTCAGACAAAAGAATGAGACGCGCCACAAGATAAACTAAAAGTTTGTTAAAATGTCAATGTAAACTCTTATTTGCAAAACATCTGGGGTGTATTATTCTATTATGATTCATCATTTAACATGAAGTTATTTAAATCTGTTCATTTTAAGCACTTTCAGCTATAAGCTATATATTTTTAACCACTTATTTGAAACATTTGAAGGTTTGACACAAGGGTGTAACTTTGTGATGAAAGTCTAAGAGTGGGGGCTGATGGACCTACAGTTACTCAACACAAACGCTTTCAATAGAGTTTGTATTTTCCAAAATTTAGCTCAAACATATTTATTTAATGCTTTCCTATTGTTGAGAACACAAAATAACCAATATACACTGATATTTATATCTATGGGTACTTAAACATTAATGTATATAAAAAAAAAGATGATTAACAGCCGATTCCGATGCCAACAGCAATATATCATGCCTCCTAGTATGCAGACAAGTTCAGTTTCATCCATTCAGAAAAATGTGGATTGATTGATTGGATGTTTTCCCTTTCAGCTACATTAGTGATTAGACTCCTTCAAAAGCAGCAAAATCAAATTTGGAAATATGTCCCACCTATTGCTGAGACCTAGAGTCTATTGAAATTATTGGTGGGTTACTTTTGCCTGACATATTATTCCTGAGAGTACTTGTTGTTACTTGGTCTGAACAACCAATACAGTATGTGTACATCATCCCTCCCAACCAGTTATAGATCTAACCAATGTTTATTGATTGTATATTATTCAAATGAATACATTAAAACCTGAAGATAAATATTTTGATTTAAGTTTCAATGATGGTTTCTAAATATAAATTCTATGTTTACCAGGGTAAAACACACTTAAAATGCTAAATTCTAACCAGCTTTTTTGATATGTATATTCCTTTTTCTTTGACATATAGTACTTTTGGTTCAGCACCACTGGGACATTTGTTTGTTTGCCATGACAGATGGCTGCTCATACTGAGTCTGGTTCTGCTGGAAGATCTTTCTGGTTAAAAATGAGGGGTTTTCTCTCACTATCACTGTATGCTTTGCTCAGGAGGAGGGATGCTTAAAAGTAAATGACTCAACCAGCTTCGTTAGATTGAAAATGTCCTTTTACAAACCACATTTTACTGGGTATCAAATTACAATGTATGGTACTGGATCTTAGTGTAACAACTGGATTCTAAATTGATCTAAATTATATTTGGACAGAGCTCACTTGTAGAACTAAATGTGAGTTTTCTGCCTGTAAAGCGACTGAAATGAATTAATATTTTCTGATTTGGTGTTTTTATTAACAACAGAACATTCAATTGTATGATATTGAATTTTAAGTAAATCTTGTCCCATGTAAAACACATCATCTATATGCTTCTCTTCAGCAATGATAAACAGTTGACTAAACAAACAACTTAACTCTAATCAAAATGTGTTGTTTTGTTTAAAACAACACATTTTGTTGTTTAAAATTAAGATTTTTTTGTTCATTTTTCTCCGCTTTAGAAATATCTTTTGATCAATATGATCAATAGCTTTTTGGACGACAAAATTAAACTTTGAGAGCCGAAAATTACAAAAGCTATTCCCCAAAATGTACAGTATTGGTGTAAGAACCACCTTATTATCACAGCATCAGATGCAGTGCCGGTTCTTGACCAAATGTACCAGGGGCCAGGAGGGGGCCAGCGTGTTTTCATGGGGGCCCAGAAAGCATGAAATAAAAAAACAGGGCAATGGATTCAAATATATTAAGAGAGCTCCATGAATTGAAATTCCTATTCGGTTAGGTTTAATTAAAATTCTATGTCTTATTAGGTCAATATGCATTCAGAATTTAGGAATTTTACATATTTTTGACTTAATTTAAGTTAAAATTACCATTTTCTATAAAATCTGAATTATAACTCAAGAAATACTCAAATTCAGCTATAAAAATTAGAGCATATTTTTTATTTGTTTTGAAAAAAAAAAAAAAACATTTAGCAGATGAAAACTGGAATCCTATCTCAAAACTACTGAAGCTATCACCTTATTGTTTTTAAATAATTAGTGAAACAGAATTTGTAAATGAAATAGATCCAAAGGAACTATCAGTAATCATGTCTGTTCCAGCGCATATCATCATTAGAATCTGAGTATTATGTCTTCAGCACAGGGGCCATAACAGGGCGGCAGGACATGATCTACAGGGGCCCTGTGGCCCCCGTCTAGAACCGCCCCTGATTAGATGGTACTAAAAAAAAAAAAGCTAAATATTAGACCTATTCTAACAAGATGGCATGGTCATATTTTTTTTCCTAAAAACGCAGTTAGGTTTTATTTCAGCATTTTTTCCTGTCACTAAAATAGTTTCATTAGACTCCCTAATTTTTAGCAAGTTGATATGCTGATTCATAATACAGCAAATTAAAATGTAAAAGCAGAAAATCCACATTCTAAATTAAAAACTAAAAAAAATGTATAGGTAATTAATTACCTAATTTTATAATTCACTTAAAGCCAAACAACACTACTTCAAATAATTATATCCTGGAAATGTGTTAAAATAATTCGAATGCGTAAAATGTTATAACTTCCGGGGGAAAAAATAGTTTTTACAGTGTACAACTTGATTTTATTAGTGATTATTATTAGCCATACCTGGCTTATAAATTAGATCATCATCCTGACTCAGGCTTAAACCTTAGTTTTACAAATATGCAACATTTTAAAGCTTTTTCACAAAAATGAAACTGAAACAGTTTTGCACCTTTTGCACATGTTGCTTCTCAGTCTCAAATTTTAAAAGGAGGAAAAAAAGAAGACATTGTGTAAATTTTCAGCGACCTCGTTATTGGGACAAAGGAGGCTGCAGATCGATTCGTTACACCTTTTTAGCGAGGCTTTTGGCAAAGGGGAGGGGCTCTGGAGCCACTGTAGGCACCATTAATAGCCTCCTCTCCGTCCTAACTATTATACACGATAAAGTGTTTATAAAGAGCGACCAAGTAGAGCAGTAAAAGTGTTTCAAATGAGACTGAGATGGTGGTAAAGAAGAGAGGAGTAGCAGGACTAGAGGGCGGATCAGATTATTTTCTCTTTAAATAATCCCTGGGACTGCGTCAGAATTACAGTTTTGCGCATTACGCACCGGACTTTTCCCCATTTTTCTGCCTTCGGTTTTATGGATTCTCATCCAAACGGAGGCGAAAACTTTACCCGGTTCAAATTCTGGTGAGTTTCTGTTTTCACTGTCCTTTAGCTGATTTAAATCCCTCTCTGGGTCTGGTTATCAGATCGTGTGCGCGCAGGAACATGTCCAATGCGTGCTGTGCTGGGGAAAGAAACGCTAAAGTACCGCCCCAACATGTGTCTGTCAAAGCGGCCCGCGCGCTGATTGATGAAGCCAAACTACGTCACTGATGTTTCCATCAAAATGTGCAGAGGAAGAAAAGCTGCGGAATCAGATCCTCACGTTTTCACTATTATATCTGCTCATTATGGGTCAGATGGATTACTGTTAAAAAGGCTTTAATTGTATAGATCTGTTAAAGGAAAACTGCAAACCTAACTTTCTCTGCAGTAGTAGTTTTTTTATACGACAAAATATATCAAACATGTAGAAAATATTTTTTGCACATAAATGCAATACCTTACAAGTTTGTTCAGCAGCAGACCAATGGTAAACTTAACTTTGATCTGTAGCCAGCAATGCAGAGAGGATGGGTAGGTGGAGGGTTTATAGCGTTTGTCACACACGATACAGAAAAGATTTATAGGATGTAGGCTACTAAAAATGAAAGGTTTTCTAATGTTCTTATGCTTATATGGTTTTCTTTTATGTGCTCTGTATGACCGTGCTCTGAATATGACTACATGATATATAAAAAGCCTTTAAAGAAACCCAACTTTAACTCTAGTTTAATTCAAAAAAAGAAAATCGGGAACAAACCAAGCTTTGATTTTAGCACATTTAATGAGTTTGAAAAGCATCCCTCATTGAAAAAAAAAGATGCTTTTAAACACAACTTTAATGCTTTTACTAAAACACAACTTTTAACTTTTCCCATATAATAAATCTGGTAGAAATGCATTCGTAATTGCTCACTTAGTGATTGCTTGCTTTCTTTCTGCAAAATAATGATTAAGACCCATTTCTTTAAACACTCTTCAAGATGGAAAGCATAAGAGAACATGCCGTTTAAGTGAGGCAGAATGTTAAACTGATGCTAGACTGACTTTAAGATGTCTATATGGGATAAATTGCAAATGATGGATCAAGTTAATAGAACTGAAACTGAAAAACAAAAAAAGAAAAGCTGAATGAGATCAGCTATTGAGAAAATTATTGTGGATGGTCCTCTATTTTACTTTAGTTTATCTTGAAGTTAAATTTTTTTTAAAGTTATCTGCAACAGAAACAGCTGCAACCCTCACTTTTGTAAAACGTGTCCATATGTAGACTAAAACAAAAGCCCAACAAACCCTGCACAGTCGTTTCGGGTTGTACCCGTCACCTTCTACTTTACACATGAAGCCCCTCTTCCTTGGAACCGCACTGGCATGGTGTCAGCATGTTGACATGCAGCCCCTGTTTCCTGCAACACCATCCCCCGTCCCCTTAGGGCGGGTAAGAACATATGTGTCCTCGTCATGTATATATCCACATACATTAAAGCTGAACCTGTTTTGTTTCTGTCCTCTTGTCTTCGCAGCTCTCACACAATCATGCAGAGAAAAGGATATGCTGCAGAGAAGTCCTGTATGCAGGGTGTCAGATCAGGTGGGGAAAAAAAGTCCATACTGTCATATTTTGATTTGTAAACTCCTCTGTCTGATATGTAATTAAAAAAACTTGTGATTAAAACAGAAGTAGATCAAAATTAAAATGTCTTCCTTGTCACATGTGGAGCTGTTTTCCACATTTTGTGTCAATTTTTTTTTCTTCCTTTTGTTTAACCATCTATAACTAAAAGAAATATTTGTAAAGCCTAACGAGCATTTAAAGTGAAAGAATAAAGCCAACATGTTTCTGCCTTGATGTCTCTGCGTTCGCATTTTGTTGGATTCCTCACACGTGCCTATGTGTGTTCCTGTTGACGCAGAACACACACCTCAAATGAAGACGAAGAAATGTTTCAAAGTCCTCCTTTCTTCTTTATCTCTGCTACCTTTTCATCATTTTAAAACTATTTTGCTTCTCTTTGTCTTATAAGTTTCAATCAGATCTCCAGACTAGCACGATCTCTTCTTTTTTTAATATTCAAACACAAACCTGAGCGAAACGCTGCAGCAGATTTAATTTGTTTTTGTTGACGTTTGACAGCAGCTAATGAGTCAAAAACCTTCTTCAGTCTTTTTAGGAAATATAAAAAAGATAAGCTGTATTACTTGTTAAAACATTTTATTTTTGGTAATAAAGAGAATTATATTGAGAATAAATCATACAAATAAAAACTATTTAATGTTCACAAACTGACCTGTAGCTAATCACCTCAGCATTTGCAGAATTAACCTTCTGGTTTTGAACCGCACACTTTCTCTCAATGCAACCCACAGGTTCAATAACTCAAAAACATCTTCAAAATACCTTAACAGCTCCTTTTGCAGCTTATGATAATACCTTTCTTTCTAATCTTGAATTATCTTGAGTTCGTGATTGGTCTTATGAGATTCCATCCTTTGACAGACTGAATATAGGAATATACAATAAGAAATTAATAAAGAAATGGCTCTAACTTTGACATGGGCTCTATCTCAACATCTTTGAGATAAGGCTTTCTAATTAAAGTGCCATATACTGCAAGTATGGAGACTAAGAAAAACAAAAGAAGGATTTTTAAATGTCTCATATATATATATATATATATATATATATATATATATTTGTGTGTGTGTGTGCATTTAACATCTGGAGATGTACATTTCCATCACTTATTTATCCTGAGATAGGATTATGTGTTGCTGTTGGTTTTGACAATCCAATTAAAGGTTTTTAATCCCCATGAAGATCTACTAAAAAAATTTAATCTGAGATAAACTAAAATAATCTGAATAAGTGCAGCACTATGACTGCACTTATTCAGGTAATTAAATTATTCTAACCTCTATGAGATGAAGATTGTAAAAAAAGAAAATCAAGCTGGTTTACCTATAATTTCAAATGATGCATATGTAAGTATCAATTTGTTATAAGATTTTTACATTTAGATGAATAATAAACTGGTAGTAGATGTTTTGTAGTGAGGCAGGTGTTGTGATACAAACATCTGACTCATGCCTGAGCTTTTACTCTGAACAGCAGGTTAGGTTACTCTGCTTTCTTTAAGTCACTGGACGATGCACTAAACTAGGGCTGAAACTATTAATCGGATTCATCGTGATTAATCGATTATTGAAATAATTGTCTACTAATTTAGTAATTGATTAACCGTTAACTGGAGTATAGCGACTCTAAAACATGCCTTTAGCTGACAGAACGAACTTAGAGCAGTAGTTATATCAAAATTGTAAAACAATATACTGTATAAAGAATTTGCATTTAAGTTACAGAAACGTTTTCGGCTGTCAATATGCTTAATCCAGAACTCCTCAATAGTTTAACGTGGTTTAAATCTGTAAAAAAAAATCTTAACTAAATCTTATTAATCAATTTGATAAATAATCGTTAGTTGCAGCCCTACTCTAAACTTGATCCCTCTCTGTGTTGGTTCTGGGGGACTCCAATGCTCAATCAGGATGTTACCTATAGTGGTGATATTGGGGACGTGGCCACTCTCTAATTTGAACCTATGTGGGGGTTTTTATTGAACTTTTTTTGCAACACACTGGACATCAGTAGCACACAAGGTTATTCAGTACTGTGCTGTTTAAACCAGTTTGCATCAGATCTGGTATAAACACTTGGGGGGAAAACAGAAGAGCAGACCTGTATACTGGTAAGGATTGTGGGAGTTGGATGTAGTGGCAAAGAAGGCTTCCAGGGAGACCTGGCAAACCAAAATGAATGGTGAGAATGAACAGGAGAATATTTACAAAAGCTTGGTAGATCTAAACTATCATCTTGGGGAGAGTTACTCACATTGGTGCCAGTCCTAACGTTTACACTGCAAAAAATTACAGTCTAAATCACTAATTTTTTCCTAAAATAAGGAATTGTTTTCTTGAATTGAGGAGGTTAGTATGACACTTTGGCAATGGAAAAAGACAATTTACATTTAAAATAAGAAAAAACTATTGCATTGTCTGCCATTGCTTCTAATTATCTTATTTTTAGAGTAAATATATCAATTCCATTGGCATGTAATCATATTTACCTCCTGAAAGTAAGGGTAAATACACTTGATTTAAGAATTTCTAGATCGATTTTGCAGTGTAGGGAGATTAGTGGTGATTAAACTTGTGTCGATGAAGGATGTCTAGGGGGAAACAAGTAAAAGCTGGGTGGTGGCCTGAAGCACTGCATTGTCTGTTGATGCAAAAGCAAAATCTGGGGGAAAATCTCGGCTTCAAGTTGGGCTGAAGGGAGATTTGCGAAACCATTTGATGCCTTACAGGTAAAACAGTACCCACATTTTGCTAATAATAATTTGGTCAGTTGAGATGGTTTGTGCATCTGACTTAGACGACTCCTAGGCTCCTCCCACAGGGAGTTTTCTGGGTTTTTGAGGCCGCCGGATAGACCCAGAAACATGCTGGCAGTACTATATATCAAATTAGGAACACCCTGAAATCCCTCAGACAGAAAATGAAAATGTCTTTGCAGAGAGATGACCATTAATGTTATTATTCTTTATTAGGTAAATACAATGGTACTGTGTGGATATATTTAGAGTAAAGGTATTAGTTAAAGTACAGTAAATTAGATAAATCTAACCCTAACACTTCCAAAAACTTGTATATACATTATAGCCTTAAAAAATGTCCTGTTAATTAGTTAACAACAATGTTATTACCAACCATACATAAACTGTTAATAATAAGAATTGATTTTCAAAAAGTCTATAAATAAATTTAAGATTGAGTTGCATTAGTTACAGTGAGAAAGAGTTAAAGCTGACTGTTTCTAGGGATCAGTTCTTCATTATTGTACAATATTTAGCTCATCGCTGCTTATAACTGGCTGAAAATTATGCATAGTGTGCTCATAGCTTCATTGATAATGCAATACTGTTTCTAAATGCTCTTTAGGGAGTTCCTATTGTTAACCAAATAAGAACATGAGCTCCACTGTGTCTCACCACACCCCAAAGTTTTACAGAGACAAATTTTCTGCTTCCCGAAACAACTTTGCTGAAATTCCAGCTGGGATTAACAAAATGACATATTCACATTTCCCCTTTGACATACACACACACATGGTTCCCTCTCCTCCTCCCTTGGCTTTTGTTTTCACTGACACATGCACTCCAATTAGCATTTTTTTTTGCCATTAAGGATGAAAGAAAGACAGCCAAATGTTTATCTTTTCAAGCGCTATTTTTTCTTTTTCTCTAACAAGTTTCTTGAGTTTGTATTTTCTTAAAAATGAAATATTTCTCCCAGTGTTGCCACGATCTTGTTGATATAAGAATAACTTATTTCATATTCAAAATAGTCATTTTTGTTTAACGAATAATTAAGATGCATGAGGGAAAACAACCAATTAGAATAATTTTTACCTCCAGTCGCATTTTGTAAACCTGTTAAACATTGTCGTTTTGAAAACCTCACAGGATGGCTCAACTTGTAGAGCTCTGTTAAACCTTTTCCGTTGAAAATTTCACAAAGGTCTCATCATGCTTAGCTAAACTTTTTTTATTTTGTCATTATTTCTGTTGCGTGTCAAATTAGGGCATCCTAATCTCAGGCTTTATACTCAAATATAAATCTGTGAATCTCAAATTGCCCAGATCCTCTTGCTGGGGTTTCGGCTGCTGAAATCTGTCACAGCCTCTGGTATGCTGCACATTAGGGAAGAAAATGCTCTTAAAAAATGTGCTTTCCTGACATTAACATGACTTGTGTGCCTGGGCGCCGCTCGATCTGTGCAGTTCCAGGCGTATATTTATGAATAGGAACCTTTAATTAGGGCTTGTGTTTCCTCTCTAGTCACATTGAGGGATGGTCCTCGCCGACATTCATTAATGATAATCACCAAGAGCGATGGCATAGCTACAGGCCAAGTCTCGGGGGACCCGACACTTGAAAAGAAGCATTAAATTACACAGAGGGACTCTTTAATTGCAAAAAGGAAAATATATAGCCATCATTGTTAAATGTGATCTTTTGTAAGCCTTTACTAGTTCAAGGATTTGTCTGAGGGGATTTCTTATCCTCACACTGTTTTAAATAGATCTTCACTAACACACCAAAAAGCAGACTTTACTCTCATTTACCTTAAAAAGAAGCCTTAGCTCCAGGTGTATAGTTGTATTTTATAATTTCTTTTTGGAATACATGGATCAAAATAAAAATAAAAAAAGAAGAAAAATCAAGGGCATTATTGTTCATAAACACCTTTTTGGTGAGTTTGGTGTTGCATCGTGCTGAGACAAAAAGCAATGAAGGAGACACACAAAAAAAAACTTTAAATCTTATTGCATTTATTATTAAAACTGGATGACTTTATGCTGTTTTTGATCAGACCCCTGTTATTAGTGTCGCCTGGCAATAAATATAAATCAACAAAAAGTGTAGCAGGCATTTCGAGGGTCATCTATATTTAAAGGCAGCTATGTTAAAAACATTAAAGTATTTTAATCTTTTATTAAAATTGCATAATCCCACTTTTTACCTCTTATATCTTAAGGAAATGACACACATTTTTGTTTTTTCAAAAGATGAATGCATAATAACATACAACTGTGTACTTTAATAAAACCACAAGCTTATATTCTTGCAGAGTTTTTTCTCCTTTAATGTAAGATCTGCCAAGTCTATAGTTTAAAAGATAAAATCTACAGCCCAGTTAATGAGGCGTTTACAGAAAAATGAATCCTTTACTAACAGAATTCCAACTCACCACAAACAATAGCGACAAATACAATGCTACAAATTTAA